AATATATTTACGTTATTATGCACAGATATATATATATATATATATATACATATATACATATATATATATATATATATATACACATTTATATACACATTATAAATAAATGTTAAAAGATTCGTATTAAAAATTCTATTTTATATACGCGGATAATATTTACAAAGAATTTATTTAATAAAACATCTTTATGGAAGGAATAATAACACTTTATATTTGTTGTTATTTTCATAACTTTTTGCAGAATGTTTACTTTAGCTGACTACCTATTTTGCAATAAAACTAAAGCTTTTTCTAGAACTCTGTAAATATTATAACATTGACAGAGTTATAATATATTATTTTTTATACATTTAACGAACTTTATTAGACCGCCAATACCATTGTGAATCATTAATTTTTACTAGTTCAGAGACTTTTTTTAATTTTTATAATATAATATTTATCAGTAATAGATGTAAATAGTAAACTCATTTTAGACATTATTACGTAATATTTTTAATGTGATGTGTATGTTTTATTACTCACTTTTTTTCTCCTATCTTATTTACATATGAGACCTTGACAAAACCTCCATCATTAGCAATAACACCTTTATACGTTATGCTCAAAGTATAATTACCAGGACATAGAACTTCAGAGAAATCCAAGACGACAATTTGCAGTTCGTGTATATACGAAATATCACGTGCTTTAACCACTATTACATATTTATCAATCTTTCCAGTTAATATGACTTCAGTTATTTCCAAATTTGCTGAATGCAGGCTTATATTTTGTGTAGCCTTAAGAATCATAATCATAATACAACATTCTCCATAGAAGATATTCTCTCTTGTCTCTAATGTTAATTCAATTTCGTATCTTTTTGGTTTTATAAAATCAGGCAAACGAGGATTGACAAGCCTAACACGTACGGTTTGAGACATTTGGTATATGTAAGAGTGTGTAGCGTTGGATGTAATTTCCTTAGTGATTTTGATTACTTCTGATCTTCTAGTTCTCGTTGCTTCTGGTTTATTTATTTGCTTGTTATTTATTTTAAATTTGTCAAATACATTTTCTTTGTGTTGGTAAAGAGCCATAACGTAATTTAGTAAACTTCCATATAGTAACAATTTTATTAATTTGGTAATATTCATCTAAACAAATTTTTCATTTACAGAAATGTATTTTTTTATAAGAAACAAAAATATAAAAAAGTAAAATTATATCATCGAAATTTGACTTTTGCAAAAATTATGAAATCATAGTTAAAGATTTTTTTTATTGATAGATTTATGATTACAACAGAAAAGTATAAAAATAACTAAAACAGTCACAGCTTGTTCTCGAAAGTAGATTCTTAAAGTTCTAAATATCATATATCT